CTTTATGTGCAAAATACAGATGCTTGGCAATGGATTGCTGCCTTGACATCTCACTAAATTGAGACGTCTATCACAGAAACAGATGAGGAACTGCGAGGTTTGCTGCAGCAGGTGTACTTTACTGAGTCGGTTGCTCTGCTGCACATTTATATCCTTAGGAGGGGGAATTCTGTTCCAGAATCGTGTTGGTTCTCTGTGTAATAAAAGACCACATCACTTTCTCTTGTGCTGGTATGATTGGCTGAGCTTGGCTAATGTAGCTCTATAAGAGGTAAGGCACAGTGCTTCTTTGTATAAGAACTGCGGACAGTAACTTTAATGCCTTGTTCCCACTGCGCGATAAGCAAAGGCGCGTTTGTCGCGTGTCGCGTGCATTGAGCAAGCTTGAATCGCGGCTAAGTCCGCTCAAAAAAGGGTCCTGCTGTAGCGACACACCACCCGCGACAGCAGGACCCTTTGCCCCATTGGATTGCATTGGAGCGCGATAACGCGCAGTAATTTGCCGCGATATCGCGGGAATTACCGCGCGATAAATCGCTCAATGTGAACGGGGTCTTAAGGAAAGGGGGGGGGGGAGTTGCAAAAGGCTTCCTTTTCATGGAGGACATCCATACATGTGATATATGCTTTTCTAAACAAATCCAGTCACATTCAGTTATATCCAACGCTGAGTTCTACGGCCAGTTGTCTGGGCACAACGTCTGATATGCTTCAGTTCCTTTTCCATGGCACATTTTTAGGAGATAGGTTGCCAGGTGTTTCCTCCAACCCTTCCATCTGCACAGGCTTGGGACTGATGTGCAGAATGCGATCACACGTGAATAGCCAATTTGCACATCCATACGAGGGCCAACTAGACCGGAACGAATTACCTTCCAGCATGTCTGGAGTGGGGAGGAGACCCATTTAAGCACAAGGGGAAAACACACAAACTTCCCACAGTGTCCAGGGTTTGAACCGAGGATCCCATTGCAGCACTAAGTCTGTGCTGCCCACATCACAATATATGTAAACCCAAAATCTTTTTTTTTTTTTTAGTAGGTGATAAACATGCCTCATTACTTTTTCCCTGAAGCTGATGGAGGCTACCAATGCCAATTCTCTACCTCACCATCAGCAGTTGCATTGTTTGTCAGCCAGCTGTGGGAGCTCCTCCAGTTGGACATTGGGCAGCTTATCTGATAGACCTGGGAGGTAGCCCAGTGGCCAACAGAAGGAAGGCACATGGCAGGCTTATAACACTGCTGAAGTTTATAAGGCTGGTCATAAATGCTACTTTGTTTTTTTTCCTCTTTCCCGTGTTCGGTCCATGGGGTTAAAAACTCTTGACTACCCCCTACCTACACTAAATGGCATGGATGGAGGACTCTTCCTCTGCCAGCCCCCACAGCAGTTGGAATACCTGAACAGTAACTTCAGCTGACTGGCCAAGTTTAGCTTTATGACCATGTTTCATGGTCATATATTACTACTTCTGTCCGTGCGTTCCTGCGTTCCAGTGACCACTCCCCCTATTTCTTGTGTGGAGTCCCAAAGTCAAGAAGTGACGTCTATTCTTCCCAATGGGGTCGGAGACGGGAATAAAAATTGGACCAAATGGTACTATGGCCAAAATGCGGTGCATCCCTAGCCTCTCTTCCCCGTGGGGGGGGGGAGGGTGGGTCTATGACCCCTCCAATCCCCACTGCTTTCTCCCGTGTCGTCGGAAGGGGGCACAGAGGATCCAGCTGCTGGCGCTCAGCCGGGGAGGAGAGAAGCTTTCAGGAAGTGGGGAGGAGGCAGCTATCAGAATGCAGACTTGGGCTGACCATGCTGAAATGTGGGAGGGGCCATTGCTAAATGTAATGACTGGTTGCAATTTGGGACTTCTACCCTTGAACTTGCTCTACTCCGGGGTGGTCACAACCCCACCTGGCCTTTAACTTTGCCATACACTAGGGGGTGGGTCTATTTATATACTACTGGCATGGCCTTTTGAGAATATCTGAGTGTTCATTCTGTGTAGATATATACCAAAACAAATATTCTTTAGTTTCTTTACAATGGAATTTTTATTTTTGCATTTTTTTTCACGTAATATCACATTATGGCCACTAGATGGCTCTGGCATCATAGAAACAAAATACTTGTATCCTCTGCTCCTTTAGCGCCATCTCGTGGCCATAATGCGATATTTCTTACAAACATTCGAAAATTCCACTAAAGAAGTAAAAGTAAGAATGTTCGTTCTAGCCTTGGCACTGCAAATTGTATGTCAATAGAACCCTATGGAGCACTGTGTAAAGCCGGCTGAATGCTGCACTGACTTGCCAATCAATATCATGCGGTACCTGAGCTGGGACTACACATACTTTTATCTAAGCGATAGCGGACGCTGGAGCGGGACGAGTAGCTTTCCGGCCGTTGTAATTAAACGGCCGGCCGGGAGCTTTACATTGAAGCGATAGGGCGTCTCTACAGATGC